GTAACAGTGCAGGTAGGAATGGTAACTAAATTGCTAACAAAGTTGCCGCAAGATATAAGAAAATAGTTTATCAGTGACTAAATATAAATGTAACTTATTCAAATATACGCTAATGAAGGCTATTAAATAATGTCTAGAAGAGTATAATAAGAAGCTAAATATAGACCAATAATCATTTTATCGTTATTTAACTCTTTATGGATCTATCATATCCAAGGAATCGTAGCTTCTTATGGATCCTCTAGAGAGAACTAAGCTTAAGTATCAGAATAATTGTACTGATATTGAGGCGTTCTAAAGCTAAGGTTTTACTTATCTAAAATATAAAGGAAGGGGAAAAAGAGAATGTCTATCTAAAATATAGAGGTGTATCCGAAGTTTCCCTACTGTGCCTTCGAGGGCACTCCTTATCCCAAAATACTTTCCCTAATTGGAATCTGATAAGCGAGAATTCACTCCTCCCATGTTAAAGAGTATAAGTATATAGATGAAGTAACCTATAACTGGAGATAGAGTAATTAGGTGAAAGTGCTAGACTGGAGAGATATATATATATATATATATATATATATATATATATATATATATATATATATATATAGAGAGATATATATATAGATATAGATATAGATATACATATATATACATACATACATACATACATACATACATACATACATACATATATATATATATATACACACACACACACACACACACACAGCAAATCCGGAAATTAATACAAAAAATTTGTTATAAGTGTACAAATTAATCCTGTTGCTACATCTAAATAGATTTGTAGTCAATTCGATACATTCCTATTGTAGCTAGTTCCCAATTATTCTTGTTGCCCTAAATGTGTGGTCGATTTTATAAGCTCCTATTAGCTCTAGTTGCCAATGTCTATGGTTGCCCTGACGCGCGTTTCGCTCCTAAGCTCATCAGATCGTTTCAGCCTTGTTAGGCATCATCAGTGAGGCACAGCTATGCCTCACTGATGATGCCTAACAAGGCTGAAATGATCATCTGGGGTTGCTGTATCTCTCGTGCAGAGAGAACTTGCTGGCATTTCGGATCTGGACTGCCCATTTGGGTGGGACCAGTCTGATATGCTTCAGATATGTTCTCTCTGTAATGGCACAAGATGAGCTAAAACTAGCTTGAGTTCTGAGCGGGGACCCACCAAAGGGCAGGCTATTTTAGTTGCTGTCCGTTTTCAGAATACTCTTGCGACCCGGTTTTTGCTCTCCAAATGTACTTAATCATCAGAGACCTCAAAGATGTGACGAACGCTGTCGGGATCTGTATGCGGAGTGTCTGGAACAGGTACAATATGCGAGGGAGGAGATTAATTTTTATCACCACTATGTGGCGAAGCCAGGACAAGTGTGGTAATTTCCATTCTTCAAGGTTTCTCTTGAAATTGTTTAGCAACGGGGTGAAGTTGAGGCTGTAGATTTGGGCTCAGTTGCCGGTCATCAGTCCAATAGTCTCAGCCGGTGCCTGACGTTGACAGGTGAGGCAGGCTTTCCAGTTACATCAGTGCAGGGTGAGGTGCTGCAGCGTTCTGCGTGGTGCGTGCCAGGCCACGTAATGGGTAGTGGTCGCAGTACAGGTAGGCCAGCAGGCACGGTGGGCACCATGTTGGGTGTTAAGTCCAGTCCTGGGTGGTGCGAGTTCCCGGTCCACGGCACCTGGAAGCATGCAAAAGCCACCTTGGGTGTGTCCACATTGTCGTAGAGATCACCGTCTTCGCTGCCCCCACCGAAGGTGTAGTCGTGCGGTCTGTTGAAGGAGTGGGGGAAAGAAGGGAGGGAGTGGGGAGAAGGGAGGGACAGGAAGGGGAAAAGAAAAGGGCAGGAGAAGGAAGAAAGGGAGGGGGGAGAGGAAAGAAAGGGGAGAGAAGGAAGAAAGGGAGGGAGGGGAGAGAAGGAAGAAAGGGAGGGAGGCGAGAGAAGGAAGAAAGGGAGGGAGGCGAGAGAAGGAAGAAAGGGAGGGAGGCGAGAGAAGGAAGAAAGGGAGGGAGGCGAAAGAAGGCAGAAAGGGAGGGAGGCGAAAGAAGGCAGAAAGGGAGGGAGGCGAGAGAAGGCAGAAAGGGAGGAAGGGGAGAGAAGGCAGAAAGGGAGGAAGGGGAGAGAAGGCAGAAAGGGAGAGAGGGGAGGGAAGGCAGAAAGGGAGAGAAGGCAGAAAGGGAGAGAAGGCAGAAAGGGAGAGAAGGCAGAAGGGAGAGAAGGGCAGAAAGGGAGAGAAGGCAGAAAGGAGAGAAGGCAGAAAGGGAGAGAGAAGGGCAGAAAGGGAGAGAAGGCAGAAAGGGAAAGAGAAGGCAGAAAGGAGAGAAGAAAGGAGAGAAGGCAGAAAGGGAGAGAAGGCAGAGTGGAGAGAAGGCAGAAAGGAGAGAAGGCAGAAAGGGAGAGAAGGCAGAAAGGAGAAGAAAGGAGAGAAGGAAGGAAGGGGGAAAGGAAGGAAGGGGGGAAAGGAAGGAAGGGGAAAAGGAAGGGAGGGGGAAAAGGAAGGGAGGGGGAAAAGGAAGGGAGGGGGAAAAGGAAGGGAGGGAGGGAGGAGGAGGGGGAGGGAGGAGGAAGGGTGGGAGGGGGAGAAGGAAGGGAGGTATCGTACGGTTCTCAGTTGCCGGTCATCAGCTGGCGTTCAAAGTTGTCGTCATCGTGGGTGGGGACAGTCAGGCTGATGAGTCATCTATAGCAGGTCCAGGGTGGTGAGCTCCGTGCAGGAGGGACTGTAGGGACAAAGTCTTTATTATGAAGGGACTCCTGCAGCACAGGTTGTTGCTTGGCACGGTCGCCGATCCCTCTGGGGCAAGGCTGGCGGTCCCAGCATGTCAGGCAGGTAGAAATCAGAGGGGTCAGGCAACCTCATGTTTAGCGGGGGTATGGATATGAGGGTCCCCAAGTGTATGAAATCCATGTGGGTGCGCACCACTATAAGTCCCCCGGCGTAGTCAATGACAGGCCAGATGGGAAAAGCCACGTTACCTCGTCCCCGCCACCTGTAGTGCTCGGGTCAAGGGTCTGAGTAGTCTCCTATATTGCAACGTAGCTGGGTAGAGGTCACGGTATAACTGGAGCTCAGAGTGCCTGTAGCGCAGAACTTCCGTCTCCCTCGCCGCCTTGAGGATGGATTCTTTTTCGGCGAACACCTCCAGGCAGCATATTGGTGGTGCTTCTGGGGGTCCCTTTGGGCGTAAAGCACGGTGGGCTCTCACAAGATTAAGAGGTGAGGTGGGTTCCCTGTCCAGTAGGCCATTGAAGATCTCCTTCAGGATGATGTGGAGGTGTGAGGGGGTCTGTTTCTACCTCTGAAAGGCCTCTAAGCCTTAAGTTTTTTCACCTCCCCCTATTATCCAGGTCTGCCACAGGGAGCGCCATACCTCATGTCGAGTCAGGGTATCTCCTGCCTGGCTGTGTGCTGATCGCAGCTCATCACATGCGGTCTCCACGTGGCCTACGGGGTCCCCAAGGCCCTAGATGTCATCCCTGAGGGCCTGGATGTCCAGCCTGATGGAGGCTTGCAAGGTGCTGTTGACAGCCGCCAAATCAGCAAGTGTGGGCAGAGCTTGCAGCAGTCTCTCCCAGTTCCTCTCTCTGTGAGCCGGCGAAGTTTTAGCGGGGAAGGATGCAGGTGAGTGCAATGAGTGAGCCCCATTGCTGTCAGAGGCTTCATCCGACGGGTGCTGGGAGGTCAGGTCCGATGGTGTAGTGAGGTACCAGTCCAGGGAGGGGGTGAGAGTCCATTTTTTAGGGTCAGCAGCTCTGTGGGAGCCTGTGGTGCGGCTGTTCTTGCCCATTTGAGCGGGTTCCGAGGGATTCATGGCTAAAGTACGCGAGGAGATCCAGGAGAGAAAGTTTAAGCGGCCATCTACGTTCGCGGTCAGGCCACGCCCTCCGTCCTCTGTTTTATCTTGCCTTCTTCTTTAACAGCATCCATTGTGTCAGTCAGTGGCTCTGTGAACATCTTGGAAGTATTTAGCAGGTTGTAAAATATCAAAACTTACTGTTCTCTATTGGCTCTAATTGTTCTCTGTAGTAAAAGTTCTTGCAGTCACCCTCTCCAGGACAAACTGGCGAACAGTAGGAAATAGGTGGTGGTGCATGGTGAGGTGGGCTGCAAAAACAAAATTCCTTAAATTCCTCTAATAGAACCACTGGTTCTAAGCTCTCCTTGGTGCAGAAATATGATTGTCAGTGAAAAATGTGTAACATATCATATGGTGTCTCACCATTTGTATCATCAGGTATTTTGTGAATGCTCATCTGTACCATAGGAATACGTAGATACCACTGTGTGGGGGCAAGCAACTAGTAACTTGGTTAATAGTTATTTAACCTCAGCATTTTTCCCGGACCACAACCCCATTACTTAGGGGGTGGTTGGGCGCACTGAATTCCCAAAGTAATCCAAATGTGGTTGCTCCATTTTGGGTTTCCTTTGCACTAACTGCAGGACCAACATCCCAGTGGATGGTCCTGGGATTACCAAATGCATACTAAGGAAGTGAGAATAACAAACGTGGAATCAGAGGTTGAACTTCACACAGGATATATCCAAGTAAACTTGGTACATGCATCAACACATACAAAAACACAGGGGCGGACTGACCACTCGGGCATATCGGTCATGGACCGAGGGCCCGAGGCAGTCAGGGGCCCGGCAGCACAGCCTTGTTCCAGCTGGAGAGATCAGAGATCTCTCCAACTGGAACAGCAAAAAATAATAAAATAAAACTTTTTAATTGATAGGTTGTGGGGCCCCTGATGCAGCACGGGGCCCCACAACCTACCGCTCTGCTAGTCACACCTCCCCCCCCCATGGAGACCTGGCAGCTTCACCTCCTCCCTGCCAGGTCTCCGGCTTCCTCTCCCATGCGGCTCTGTGTGATGGGAGAGGCGGGGCCAGGAAGTGACCTCACTTCCTGTTTACTCCTTTCACACAGAGCCAGGAGGGGAAGGAGCTGCAGCTTGGGAGAGGAAGCAGACAGACAGGTAGGCACCAATCACCCCCCCCCCTCACTGTCACTAGTCACCCACCCTCACTGTCACCCCCCCTCACTGTCACCAGTCACCCCCCCTCACTGTCACCAGTCACCCCCCCTCACTGTCACTAGTCACCCTCTCCCTCACTCTGTCACTACTCACACCCTCCCTCACTCTGTCACTAGAGTGAGGGGATGACTGGTGACAGAGTGAGGGGATGACTGGTGACAGAGTGAGTTAGGGGGGTGACTAGTGACAGAAGGAGGGATGGAGTAGTGACAGAGGGAGGTGGTGACTAATGACAGTCACCACCTCCCTCACTCTGTCACCCCCTCACTCTAGTGACAGTGAGGGAGGGTGTGACTAGTGACAGAGTGAGGGAGGGAAGTGGTGACTAGTTGACAGCGTTAGGGAGGGAAGGGGTGACTAGTGACAGAGGGAGGGGTGACTAGGGACAGAGGGAGGGAGGTGGTGACTAGTGATTAGTGACAGTCACCACCTCCCTCACTCTGTCACTAGTCACCACCTCCCTCACTGTGTCACCCCCTCCCTCTGTCACTGGTCACCCACTCCCTCCCTCACTCTGTCACTAGTCACCCCTTCCTTCCCTCTGTCACTAGTCACCCCCCTCACTCTGTCACTAGTCACCCCCCTCACTCTGTCACTAGTCACCCCCTCACTCTTGTGAAAGAGTGAGGGAGGGGGTGACTAGTGACAGAGAGAGGGAGGGGGTGACTAGTGACAGAGAGAGGGAGGGGGTGACTAGTGACAGTGAGGGAGGGTGTCACTAGTGACAGAGAGAGGGAGGGGGTGACTAGTGACAGTGAGGGAGGGGGTGACTAGTGACAGAGTGAGGGAGGGTGTCACTAGTGACAGAGAGAGGGAGGGGGTGACTAGTGACAGTCACCACCTCCTTCACTCTGTCACTAGTCACCCCCTCCCTCACTCTGTCACTAGAGTGAGGGGGTGACAGAGTGAGGGAAAGGGATGACTGGTGACAGAGTGAGGGAGGGGATGACACGGTGACAGAGTGAGGGAGGGGGTGACACAGTGACAGAGTGAGGGAGGGGGTGACACAGTGACAGAGTGAATAAGCTTTTAGGGCAAGTCTCTCTTTCCTTTACAGGAAGAACAACCAACTTATTACCTTTAGCATTGTGATTGGATCAGGCTACCACTTCTGATGTCAGCAGACTTTTTAGGCAAACAGCATGCAGATCTACAGCTTCTGGCTGATTTTGCTATAGTGACAGTGAGGGAGGGGGTGACTAGTGACAGAGTGAGGGAGGGTGTCACTAGTGACAGAGAGAGGGAGGGGGTGACTAGTAACAGTCACCACCTCCCTCACTCTGTCACTAGTCACCCCTTCCTTCCCTCACTCTGCCACTAGTCACCCCTTCCCTCACTCTGTCACTAGTAACCCCCTCACACTAGTGACAGAGTGAGGGAGTGACAGAGAGAGGGAAGGGGGTGACTAGTGACAGAGTGAGGGAGGGGGTGACTGTCACTAGTCACCCCATCCCTCTCTCTGTCACTAATCACTCCCTCCTAACTTTGTCACTGTGTCACCCCCTCCCTCACTCTGTCACTAATCACCCCTCTGTCCTTAGTGACAGAGTGAGAGAGGGGGTGACTAGTGACAGAGTGAGGAAGGGGGTGACTAGTGACATAGTGAGGGAGGGGGTGACTAGTGACAGAGTGAGAGAGGGGGTGACTAGTGACAGTCACCACCTCCTTCACTCTGTCACAAGTCACCCCCTCCCTCACTCTGTCACTAGAGTGAGGGGGTGACTAGTGACAGAGTGAGGGGGTGACAGAGTGAGGGAAGGGGATGACTGGTGACAGAGTGAGGGAGGGGATGACATGTGACAGAGTGAGGGAGGAAGTGACTAGTGACAGAAGGAGGGAGGGAGTAGTGACAGTGAGGGAGGTGGTGACTAGTGACAGTCACCACCTCCCTCACTCTGTCACTAGTCACCCCTTCCTTCCCTCACTGTGCCACTAGTCACCCCTTCCCTCACTCTGCCACTAGTCACCCCTTCCCTCACTCTGTCACTAGTCACCCCCTCACTCTAGTGACAGAGTGAGGGAGTGACAGGTGACAGAGTGAGTGACTAGTGACAGAGTGAGGGAGGGGGTGACTGTCACTAGTCACCCCATCCCTCTGTCACTAGTCACTCCCTCCTAACTCTGTCACTGTGTCACCTGCTCCCTCACTTTGTCACTAGTCACCCCCTCCCTCACTCTATCACTAATCACCCTCTCTGTCCTTAGTGACAGAGTGAGAGAGGGGGTGACTAGTGACAGAGAGAGGGAAGGGGTGACTGTCACTAGTCACCCCATCCCTCTGTCACTAGTCACTCCCTCCTAACTCTGTCACTGTGTCACCTGCTCCCTCACTCTGTCACTAGTCACCCCCTCCCTCACTCTATCACTAATCACCCTCTCTGTCCTTAGTGACAAAGTGAGAGAGGGGGTGACTAGTGACAGAGTGAGGAAGGAGGTGACATAGTGAGGGAGAGGGTGACTAGTGACATAGTGAGAGATGGGGTGACTAGTGACATAGTGAGAGATGGGGTGACTAGTGACAGAGTGAGGGACGGGGTGACACAGTGACAGAGTGAGGGAGTGACTAGTGACAGAGAGAGGGATGGGGTGACTAGTGACAGAGTGAGGAAGGGGGTGACTAGGGAGAGAGGGGGTGATTAGTGACAGAGTGAGGGAGGGGGTGACACAGTGACAGAGTTAGGGAGGGAGTGACTAGTGACAGAGAGAGGGATGGGGTGACTAGTGACAGTCACCCCCCCCTCACTCTGTCACCAGTCATCCCCTCACTCTGTCACTAGTCACCCCTTCCCTCCCTCACTCTGCCACTAGTCACCCATTCCCTCACTCTGTCACTAGTCTCCCATTCCCTCCCTCTGTCACTAGTCTCCCCCTCTCCTTCCCTCTGTCACTAGTC